GGTCAGAATACAACTTGAAATCTGACATCTGTACGGTGTATGCATGGCAATGATGTTTTGTGCGACGCATTGCCTTCCAGATCTTCTGCTTCTCCCGAATGCCAAGACCCAGGATGGCCCTGGCTTTCCCGCAGTGTTAGTTGTGGACGATTTCGACCGTTTTTTTCCTTTTGTCAGAGTTTGATTTTCCACTAGTGCCGGGTTTCACTCTGGACTAGAAGGTTTGTGGATTTTCGTTAGTGTCTTTGGTGGACGCCCTGACGCCTTCTCTTTCGTGCCAACAAACTTGCTCGATGTTTAAACTGTGAAGAGGAAATTGGTTCGCCATTTTTCCGGCAAAAGGAAAATGCTGCCCATTCGAGTATACTATGTATAGAGAATTTGCAAGGTTGATGGCTGTTTCGTCTGTTCTCATTGCTGTCCCATGCTAGGTTTCTCCTCTCTTTTTTATGTTAACACCACAAGAAGGGTTCTGACTCGTTACCCACCTAGCCCCTCTCCTCCAACTTTTGATCTTGGCAGGTCGACCGACCGCATTACGACTGAACTAAGCAGCGACCTAGCCTCCTGGAGAAACCCATGCCATTCGTCATTTCTCTTATCGTGACTGCTTTTATTGCATTCTATTGTGTTATTGATGAACCGCCGTAAGTTGGACGATGGGCTTTCTGGGGAGCAATGTCTTTGCCTTTCCTACCTTTCTTCTAAGGTACGACGACCTCCATACTTTGGCTTTGTTCCGGGTTCTTGTCCTCGTCTCATCACCCCTCTTCCCTGTCGAGCTTGCCCTGTTCGGCATCCTTACCAGCTGCCTCCTGATTTGGCTTTTGGCTTTTGGCACTCTACGACGTTGTCCTCTTGTGGGGGCCGGTTCTTTGCATTTGGCCTCTGAGGATAATTTCCCCATTTCTGGCCCACTCGTACGTTGTACGAAATATGTTGTCCATTGTAATTGCAGTTCGACACCTCTGACGCCTAGTTAGCTAAACACCGCAAACGCTCACGCGGACTCATACACAGCACATCGTTCGTTCCGTCTGTCATCGGCTTGGCCGCCTGTTGGTCATTTCTCCGCTTTGTTTCTTTTTCTTGGTCGCTCATCGAACGACCATCACTCAATCACTCTTTGGGGTCTCGACTGGCATGGTCTTATGGTCTTGGCCCAGCCAGGCCTGACCGCACAGGCTTACATGCATGAGCTGCATAGGGCCCGCAGGAGCAGGATTAAAAGGCGGGCGCAGAAACAGAAACAAAAATAAAGAAAAAGGAACCAAAAAAACGCAATCCTACCTACACTTTGTGGTGTTCTTTTGTTCATGCCGACGAAAAACTGCGATAGGCTGGCCATCTGGCTCCCGACCGGGTCTTGCTGCCACATCTAATTGCTCCCGATATATTTCGGTCCTTCCCACTCCATGTTGCTGCTCTCCTCCTCTCATACTTACGATTACTACGCGCCTTCATCGCAACCTAACCCCTCTCCATCTTCGCCCTGTCCTTTGACTCCTTGGTGCTGCATATGCTACCCGTTGCCTGCCACTCCAGTCGTGCAGTCGTACAGTTGTGCGTGCTGTGTATTCGATGCAATTTTAAAGTACAAACAAGCAGCTGTCATGTCGTATTCGAGTCGAGCTCTCAGTTCGTGTTCTCTTTTTTGGGCCCTCACAGGTTAGACGGCGACCTGCGGTGTTTCTGCGGCTGAATACCTTTGTGGTTTCGCTTCTTACATGTATCGTACTTTTATGAACGTGTCAACGACTTATTTCTGGTACTGAGCTGTCCTCGCATGTCTGACGTCCATTCTAGGTCCTGTCTGTATGTGGGCGTCGACCTCCCGTGTGGATGGATTCTTTAGATCGATCGAGACCCCCTCTCGTTCTTTCTTCCCAGTTCCAACGGTTTACGACCTACGTCGTACGATCTCATTCCCCTATTTTCCCACCATTCTTTAATGATTATCATTTGAGTGCCGGGCGCATTTGCTTGTTTCTTTCCCATACACCCCCCTCTCTCCGTCCTTTTTTTCTATCCCCTCCCTTTTTGTTCATTCTTCGTACGCCCACACTCCACTTTTTGCTTTGTCTTTCTTCTCCGCGCACCTGTTTCTCCCGCGCATGTCTCTCTTCTCTTCCACCTCCTCAGCCACCTTGTCCGCTGCCCGCTTCGCCCGTCCGTCCAATTGTTTCTAAATTTCCCAGTGTGCTTCTTTTTCTTCTTCACGTCGTATTTTCTTATTATCAGTATTATTTTTATTTTGTATTGTCGCAGCCGGCTTGGCTACAGCCTCCACTTCACTTTGCTCGCAAATAAGCGCCCGAACCGTTGAGAGGGGCACGCGCCTGTCCAAATTTCGAAACTAAAGATGCCTGTGCATGTCGTACTCGGTGCTGTGCCGAAGTGGCTTTGTGAGAGAACGCAACTGCCAGAACATGGCACCTGGCGTTGAACATCTGCTGTCGGCGCCTCTGGCGCATCGGTTGCCTTCGCCACAGCTGTCTTCGTCATCGCCGACCACTAAAGCAGAGGGACGCGCAAAGTAAAAAAGAGGCGCACGTTTCGGGTGCACATGTCACAGCTAGTTTGATAGTTGGATAGTTTGAGAGCTTGATAACTCGACAACGGGGGACTAACAGAACAAATAGCTCGTTGCCCGACCGGTGAAGGACAGGAGAGAGTGGCGAAAAGGAACTGTGAAAGTTTGAAAAGAGGGCTAAAGTTTAACAAGTCCCAGGCAAAAACAAAAAAGCCAAATGCGACTTGCCTGCGCTGTGCCCCCAGTTTCATAGCTAGGAAGGCAAGCGCGACCAAATGAGCATACGCCCAATTAAGGCAGGAACGAAGAACGACAGCAAACACGCAGGAATCACAAAGGCAGGCACAAAGCCAGGCACGGCCCAGCCATCCAGGGCAAAAACAGGACAATTGGGAAGGTATGTCGACGAGGAAAGAGCCAAACCCCGAACACTCAAAAACTAAAATAAAAAATAACAAGTATAACGCAGAGAGAAATAAATAAAAGAAAGAACAAAAACGCCGCCAAAAGAACTCACAAGGTCCATAGGGCAAAAAAGACTAAGAGACTAAGACGACAAGACCAAAACCGCAACCGAAAAACGACAAATGTGTCGTATTTTACCTGCAGACTCCACACACCCTGCCCGACACACACAAATCTCTTGGAGCCTCCACCGGCCCTGGCCTCTAGAACAACTCTCTGTCTCTTTTGTCTTGTGCTTTCCTTTCAACATGTAGCTCCATGCACACCTATCCGATCTTGGTTTACCCTGCATTGTCTTGGGCCATCCTGGCCTGGTCCATTGTTCCTCCGCTCCTTCCCTCTGGGCCTTGTTAACCAACCTTCGCCTCAAAACATCGTTCGCTCTTTCCTGGTTGGTCTGGTCATGGCCACCGGCGGTTCTTTTCGATGGATGCAACTGCACCTTCCGTATTATGCTCACATTGTCTTCTTTGGCGGCGTTGTCCTTTGCTCTTGCTTTATTTTACCTCTTTTTTCACCAAATCTCGTTGGTTGCTGGTTCCATTTTACCTTCTTTTGTTGTACCCTTTGGGGTCTTGGAGCTGTTGCGAGACTGGGCGGCACTTTCCTTCGTGTTTGTGCCTTTTTTCCTCTTTCCTTCCCCCACACATTCTTTGCACTTGCTCTTGTCCTCTCGCTCTTGCCAATTCTCTTGTATTTGCGTTCATCTCCCCCCTCGCCCCCTTAAAGGGTCCCATCTCTATTTCTATTTCTATTTCTCGGTCGCCCACCTCTTCTCTAGACTTCTTCTTCCACCATCCCTTTCAACTTTCGACCTTGGGACCGTCTCGAACATCAACGCCGGCCAAGGCCTGACCTCCCGCGTCTTTTTCTACTCGTTGTCGTTTTGCCATATCCAGCCCCCCGTCCCGCAGAACTAAGCCTGCTGTACCCGACTTTTTCTGCTTGCCTTGTCGCATTACTTCTTTCTTACGTGCACCCTCTTATACTTTTATTCCCCTTGGCTTCCTCGACTCTCTTGAACGTCCCTCCCTTCCTATCCGTCTTCCCCACGCCAAAACAGCCGCCCAACACCGGGCCAAACAGCACACGGAATCGCAGCGGACAGAACATATCCGCCCGCTCTTGGCTTTTCCAACCAACAGAGCGCCGTCGTCACCATTTTTTGTCAACTTTTGAAGCCACTCGTTGCATTTTCTCCCTTTATTATCTGGCGTGGGTGTGTATGTCCTCCCGAATACCCTTCTCGTTCCCGTCAACGGGTCAGTCTTGGCTTTCTTTATTCTACCTTGCAATGCGCGTTATTCAAGTTACTTGAGGTTGTTATCTTTTCTTGCGTTTTCGTTTTTCTTACTCATTTGTTGTTGTGATTGTGCTTGCAGTGTCTCGAATCATTTTCGACCTTCCCAGGTTTCACGTTTTCCTTGCTGTGATACAAGAGCTTCGGGCCGGTCTCGAACTGCGCGCATTCCGCGTGTGAGAGCAGTGTCATGGCGCCAGCGAACGCTCCGGCTCGCGAGCTGGACGGCGGTTCCGGCGCGGGCGCTGGCTCCGGTGGCAGCGGTGGTAGCAGCGGCAAAGGCGCCGGTGGCAAGGGCAGCAGCACAGTTCCGGGCCGCATCGGCCGGCCGCCGCAATGGACAAGCACGCGCTCGCGGAAGCTGGTGCGGCTGTACATGTACTCAACACTCTCCGTCGACAAGATCCTCAAAGTCTTGGAAGACGACGTGTTTAAGCCAAGGTAAGCAAAATCATATGCAATGCGCAAAGGGTTGATCCTACGGAGCCGAGTATAAGAAACATGACGACGGAACTGCCAACAAAACCGGCAAGATACGGCACGAAGGAAAGCCGCATCAGATACTTGAACGAAATAGGCCCCCTGTCAAAAACCTCGAGCAAACCAAGGCTGGCAGAGCCTCAAAGACAAAACCTAAAACGGCGTTATTCACACTCTATTGCTATCTGCAGGAAGAATTCGGCCCAAAAGACAATTCACAACATGCTGGACCACGATCCGCGCTATTTACGCCCCGAGTCGCGTGAGGACATGAACCAGCGCGTCAAGTTGCTGGCCGGGTCGACCCAGCGCAAGCGCCGGCCGTGGAAGAAGCACGGCGAGGCTCAGCAGCAGCAGCAGCAGCAACAACATCAGCACCTGAACTCGCAATATCAGCAGCCGCCACTTCCACCTCCGATGGGCCACTCATCGGGCTACGAAGACGCAATGCTCCATGGCATCAAGCCCGAGATAGGCCACGGCCCGGGACTTGGCCACCTCCCACAGCACCCACAGCACCACCAGCAGCATCCGCATACGCAGCACCCGTACCAAGCTCAGCATCAGCAGCCGCAGCACCACCACCAGCAGCCCCAGCACCAGATGCCTCCGCAGCCTCATCACTTGCCGCAGCAGTATCCGAGCCAGCCGTCGGCAACATATCTCCCGCCGCCCCCAAACCTCCACCAGCACCATCCACAGCAACCGCAGCAACAGCCGTACCATGATTTTTACCACCAGCAGTACCCACAGCAGCCAGCACCACCGCTGCCGCAGCCGCAGCCGCATCAGCACTACCCCCTCTCCATGCAACAGATGACAACACATCACGTCCCCCCGTTTATGAGCGGTAGCTGGGGCCATGTGTACGATAACCAGAGTCAGGCTGCAGATCCCGCCTCCCGTCTCACCATGAGCAACTCGTTTGACCTGGCACAGCACCAAACAAGCATGGCACCGCTCCATGCACAGCAGCAACATGCGGCTCATGCACAACAGCACCTTCACCAACACCCACAACACGCGCAGCAGCACCAGCAATATCAGCACCCCCACGCAGCGCACGGCCATCCCCATCAACCCTATCACCCGAACGAGCACAGCAGCATCGATGGACACGGTAACCTCGGCACACTGGGAGGCGGTATCACGAGCAGCCATTTGCCCCTACTCAGTGACCACCAGCGGCAGCGGCGCATGAGCTCCGCGGCGTACTCAACAGACTCGGACGCGTCCTCGGACGTCAGCACGGAGACGATCCAAGATCTCAAAAACCGCCTATCGGGTTGTTCGACTCATTACGCAAACCAAATCGCCAACTTGCTGCGCAGATTCACGATTAGCAACGGATCCGACGACCCGTCGTCTCCTTCGCCGTCCGTTGTTCTCTCGGGCCCTCGTAGCGGCAGCAACGACAACAGCGCGGACTCGCACCGGATTCGGAAACCCTGGCGCCAGCGGACACAAAAAATTCGTAGCAACAGCGTCAGCAGCACTAGCAGCAACGGCAGTTTTGGCGTCTTCGACAGCGACGTGGACGTGTATGGCGAGCCAGGCGACGATGACGACACTACACAGCGCGGCCAGAGCAGCCACGGTGGTAGCAACCATTCCAGTGTGGCCGGTGCAAGCCCGGATGGGCACGTCGATGAGCATGTGCGCGGTAGTGCTATGCGGCGGGCAGGTGGCTCTGGAGCCGGTTTGAAAACCACGACAGCTACGACAGCTACGACAGCACACGCGACGACGATTCTGGGCGCCAGCGGTGACAACGCCGGAAGCCCGCGTCTTGTGCTCCCAGGTGACTTTTTCAACGCGTACCAGTACCGCGACGACGCTAACTGTCCCTTCCACAACAAGGAGCAACTTCTGCGTGACGAGCAAGAAAGGCGGCAACGGCAGGCCGAGGAGGACCAGAACGACCGGAGACGGGGCCGGAGCGGTGCCAGAGGAGCCAACGCCAAGGTCCCGCGCGAAAAGCGCTGCTGGTGTGCGATTGCAGATGCAGTCGGCTCTGTGGCACTCGAAGACGGCTCGTTCTGGGTCCTCAGTGACGGCCGGCTCACGCCCGAGGCCGAAGCGATGGTTCGCGAGCCTACGCAGCAGCGCCATCAACTGGCACGCCGCGATCGGTTCGGCCACTCCATGCTGCACTTGTTTGCATCGCGGGACGGTCTGCAGATGCAGCTGCTGGCCATGGTCCTGAACTGTGACGATGCAACGCTCCTGGCGGCCAACACAGCCGGACAGACGTTTTTGCATGTCTTGGCTCCCAGCTGGTTTGTGGGGCTTCATGAGCCGTACGCACCCTTGGTCCAGCTTCTCGCCCATTTGCGGAGCCGTACGCGTCAGCCGCCAGCTGGCGGCAATGTTGGGTCCGACGCGGCAGATGACGTGAACGGCCCAGGGCCCAGCAACGCCATGGCACACCTGATCTACGCGACTGATGTCTACGGCCGCAGTTTCTTCCACCGCTTCGGCACCTTTGTCAGTGACCCGCATATTATAACGAGCACGATCATCCAGCATTACGACCGCGCGGCGCTCTTACGGCGCGACGGCTTTGCCCATGTACCGCTGGCTATAATGGGGGCCAGCGGCAGTGGCGGCGCTGACGACTACGGCGCATGGCCCTCGCCGACGGCCACACATGCACTGGTTGGCGGCAACGTCCCAACCGTGTTCTCTAGCGAAGATGCTTTTATCCGCCACCACGAGTCGTTGCTGCGTACTGTCACGGCATCGGACAACCAACCGAGTGTAGAGGACCCTGAAGGTCGCAATGGCCTGCACTGCATGGCCGAGGCGATTGTGGACAAGCGCATTATGGACGAACACCGCAGCGCACTGAGCGCGGGCCGGAAGGTGCCTAAAAAGAAGACACTCGATAAGAAGGATCCCAGCGCTGCGACGAGCAACAGCAGCAGCTTTATGAATGGCCTGCTCCTCAGCGGCGAAGGCGGAAGTGTCGGCGACGGTCTTGGTGGTGGGCCGACGTATAGCAGCACCAGCCCCTACGTCAGCAACCCGGCTCTTGGTGGAGCGACGTCCACACAGAGCCTGCTGCATACGTCAGTGGACGGTGCACAGATGGCAACGCGCCTTCGCCTCGTGCAAGGCCTACTGTCGCCACCCATCGTCGTCGACGTGAACCACTACGACCGCCGCGGGCAGACCGTGCTGACTGCCTTTGTTGTGCATATTGCGGACGACCAAGAGGATAAGGCCAAGAGCCTTGTCGCGATCCTCGAGACGCTACTGTCGGCAGGTGCCCGTATCGAAGGTCGCAACCGCCGCGGCGAAACCGCGCTTCTCGTCGCCGCGCGCCTTGGCCGCAAAATCGCGCTGACTACGCTTCTCGACCACGGTGCGAATGTGCATGCCCGCGATGCCGCCGGCCGCGGTGTACTCGACATTCTTGATATGCAGTGCCGCCGACAGGGACGCAACAATGTCGCCCTCTACGGTCGCCTCGAGGCGTGCCGCGTCCTGCTGACGAGCATCAAGCAGCTGCCCCTCGGCGTCAAGCAACGCCCTACTCTGATGGACGAGTGGACCATTGTGCACCGGCGTGGACCGGAGCCGCGGGATATTTCCATGGCCATGTAGCAAATGAAAATACGGACACACGGCAAGGCAGATATGCGACGCTATGGGCCCGGCAGCTGCCACAACCAACGCTGCTGGCCAAGGAGGACATGGACTCGTCCAACGAGCTTTTGCCATCCAAAGTACATCTAGACAACAAAATTTCTGATCGGAGTTAAGTCAGATGCGGGAGGAGATATCTACAAATGTCGAACTTCACAACATTGAAAGACATAGCTCACTGCCAGTTCCGCAAATAGTTTTTGATATACAAATACCAAAAGATGCTATTAGTCATACAAAGCAATGATCAAAAATCTACCAAAGTCGGCGATGATGAATCGAATGTGGTGTAAAAGTGTGTAAGTCGATGTGGTGTCGGGCCACGATGCTGCAGTCAATTGCGGTCGATAACATTGCCTAGCACGGCGTCTTTTACTGTGTGGTCTGACTGTCGGCCCAGTGCAACCCGACGACCAGCTAGGTCGATCGATATTATTGTCGTTCTTTTTCTTAATATTTTACTTCACGTTTAGTGCGCCATTCAGGTTACCCGCCATCGCTAACAGAAACCAACAGCACTGGGTTGGCCCGTCTTGGCGCGGTGGGCACAAAAAATGGGAAATAGAAAAACACAAAAAGTCGCCCGTCGCCGTTGGCGTCCAGCCCTACAGGGCCTGTTAGGTGCAAACCGATAAAGCCACTGGGATTCCGCATTTGTTGCCTGTGCACAGATCATGCGCGACGTCGTCAGTCGTGCGCAAAGCGACTATATTTGCCTGGTCGAGGAGCCGGGCGAGGAGGTTTTGCGCGAGAGGATGAGAAGCGCTCGTATTTTCTCGTATTTTCTCGTATAGGCATTTGTTAGTGATAAATTACCCAAGTTTTGTGGGAGTAGGCTCTGAGCAGTCTCAACAACACAAAATAGCAACCACAGAATGACTTGGCCATGCAGCAAAACGCAAGAGCACAAACGATGCAGTAAAAATCCTGTACCGAGCGACTTTTTCCACTTTGTGAAGGCCGTGCCACCCTGTGCGTCTTTTTTCCCACCCGTTGTTCAGGACAGTGGAGGGCGGCGAGGGCGGGCGCTGTTTTACTAGGCACAAAAGGTGGTCAGGGTCCTTGTCCAACTGCGATTTCGAACGTCGTAGGAGGGCCAGACCAGTCCATCAATCCTGTATTTCTCGGTAAAACTTTCCAAAAAGACGGAAAATCTTTCGGCGCATGTCTCACACCATTTCGAAGTCCAACCCCTCTCTTTCTCCAAGCAGTTTGTCCTTTTTCCTCTTCATTGTCTGGTGCTTTCTGCAAGCGAGATATCTGCAAGTCTGGGAGCTAGACCAAATGGAGGACCTTCACCCATGCACCCAATTCGATGAAGAGGGAAGCACCATTTGGTTCCGAGGCCATGGCCAGGAATTGCAACGTCGTTCCGTAGCTTCCGTCCTGCAGCTGTCATTGGCTGTTTTTTCAACCAAACAAATGTGAATAGCAAAAAAGGTGCGCTCTACAGATGATGCCTAGAAGGGTCTACTTTGGCTGGCTAGTATCTCACTCGCAGGCGAAATCAAACAGTCCCATCATAATCTTCTTACGTCATATTTTGTGTTTTGTACGTTGTCACTGTTTCCTCCGCTCCCAGAATTGTTCCCATACGCAGTGATTACGAAAGAACGAAGAAATGGGGCCAGCTTTGGCTGTCAGATTCTTAAAAAGGGGGAAACGACAGGGCAGTCTGCCTCGGCGATCAACTAAGGGGCTTCGGTTCCTTTGCGATTTTCGTCCTGTCACGAGCTCTGCCAAGAAAAGGGCCACCACCCCTGCCTCCTTATCCTTATCACTTGTCTTTAGCTGTTGAAACCAAAGAACTTTCTGGGGGTTAATAGACGCGAACCGGTGAGGCGTTTATTGTGAGAGCCAAAGAAACAATGAGGGGTTCGTTTGTAAATTAAAAAAAAAAAAAAAAAAAAAAAAAAAAAGGAAAGTAAAGGGCAATTTAGCGGACTCAACAGGACACTACGTTTTACCCTTTCAGGGAATACAGGCACACAACAGTGCCCATTCCAAATGTACTTCTAAATTCTTTTGCCTGATCTACCCTATTTCTTTCGCTTTCTTTCCGCTCCAACGTAAAGGCAGGATCATATGAGCGACAAGAGCCAATCTCAATGCACACAATACGAGGAAACAGATTTAAAAGAGACGCAATAGTAAATTATCTGGAATGTGGATGGTGGATAAGGTCAGTGGCCTCCGGTATGACACATCCATTCCATTTCCCCCTCTATTGGCACTCATCAGGATTCTCTTTTTCGTAATCTGTACAGGTATGACCTTTCACACACCCCTCGCATTGCTTTGCCACAATGACACGACGGTTCCTGCAGAGGAATTTCCGCCGTCAGCGACGAGCAAAGTAGAGTTCTGACAGCGGCGCGCCTACAGACTTGCCGTCGGGCGGCTAAACCATCAATTGCCTCCGGTCTCCCGGACCGACCACCACAACATTGGTACCAAAGCGGCCTTTTTACGGCAGTTGAAAGCATACCAAGATCCCTGGACAATGCTGCGCCGAGACTTTCGTAGGATAGTGAGTAGCAAAAGGCAGCAGAGGGTAGTATTGAGAGAATAAGCCGTCATTTATGGGTCATCATGGTGCCATGCGGCTGCGTTACAAAAATGAGTGTGGGTCACAGAGGAGCTTGCGATTACAGTAGATGCAACACGAGATGGCTTCAGCAGGAAAGGATTCGAGATTCAAAGGATGAAAATGGTGTGTAAGTGGGCCAGTTGTATTGATTTCTTAAACAAAAATGATTTGTTTGAAGGCTTCATAAGTATGATGTACTGGTAGACAGGTGCAGCAACCCAATCGTACAATGCAAAATCCACCTCGAAAGAAGCAATATTTCTGGACGGTACACAGTGAAACAAAGAACGAGACATGCAATAGACCAGAAAGGACCGGAAAAGGTAAAATATAAAAAAATGGACGAGCAAGGACTCATAAAATCACCAACTCTGAGCATTGGCATCGATGTCCCTCGGTGTTGTATGGCGTCGGTCAAGGCCGGCGAGGCAGGCTCTAAGCTTAGCGTACATTTGGTCAGCTGCTTCGTCACGCGTGCGAGCTGGACAAAAGCCGATAGGTGCAGGCTCGGTCTCCAAGAACCGACGAAGACAATAACCGTGGTCCAGGGGCACTGGCACCGACGGAAAGAAGCAGCCGAGCGTCTCTGGAGCGCAGTCCAGTGGGAGATGCTGGGCATTTGAAAACAGCCCAGGGAGATTCACGGGTGCCGAGAAGGAATGGAGTCGCGTGAGCTTGGGGGTTGCAGGAATTGTAGGGATGATCTCTTGTAAGTCAGCGGGGATTTGGAGTGCATTGGCCTCTGGAATTGTCGCGATTGTAGGGAGAGCAGAGGGGGCCGGATGAAGTGCGCTTTTAGAAGACAGGAAGTGTAAGTAGGACGTTGCACGCCAATTCTTCGTCTAGCTAGTTGAAAGATACCAATGACGGTGACGAGAGACTGGACAACAGGGCACAACATATGTTTGCCGGCCAAGAAAATATCGACATTCATCTTGTGTAACAACATAAAGGAGACTGTCATACTTAATTAGTGAGATGCCCTGGGATTGTTGTGTTATAGACATCTTTATTGTAGCCGGGAAGATGCAACACAAACGGTCGTATCTAGAAGAAAAGCCACGCGATGAATATGACAATGTGGTATCTTCAGTGACTTGAGATGACGTGAGGAGACATATGGCAACTTGTTGGTCGTGACTTGTGAGTGGCTAGTGACCGATGCAAGGTCATAGGCTCAGCAGACTTGTAATGTTTTGCGACTAGTCGTTGGGTGACGAAGTGCAAATAGTAAAATCCCTGCAACAATGTGACTGTGCGATATTGAGAATATGAAACCGACGATTATGATGAAAGGCGAGATGAAACGAAAGAAAAGCGAGGAGTGTTGCTAATAAAAAAAATAAGTTCTCGGGAAGCTATGCACTTTATGTCCTAGGATTGGCTCCTTTTTATAATGAATGGGAGATACGATCATATCATAGAAAAAGGGGGCCATAATGGGTCAGCTCATTCTAGTCTGTCTTTTGCTTTATTCTTGTCCACTCGGTTGCCTATTGGTAAAGTTGAAAGATGTGACATGGAGTTCACGAGTTCACACCGACCATGAGTATTGGATAGTTCCTTTTCTGTCATGACCTACTTGACTGAGGCACGATCCATTAAGCAATGAGAATCTCCGTAATCGGCGATTTTTGTGAGGAAAATATGTCAGGGTGAACACAAATAACCCCAAATCAAGGAACTAGCACCTCTTGACGAGGAATCTCAGGATCTCCTGGAATGAGTAGAAGTGAAACTCGGCAAGGAGACACTGCCTGATTCCGTATCCTTATGAACAGATGCAAAAACCGGATTTGAAGGTTTACAGGGCGTCGGCTGACCGGCAGGAGTGAGAAATCCATACCAAGCAATAATAGTCTTGCTACATTTCCAAGCTGCCGGGGCAATGTCGTGATGAGGCTCATTTTGATTATCAGATTAGGTGCGGCTTTGCGGGGAGATATTCGTTCCGAGAACATATCCCCCACGCAGGGCCAGTCACAATCTCTGTGTCCCGGACCATAAATGACGTATAAAATAGGCTCATAGGATGTGCAGCCTAGAGGTAGACTCAGGAAGGGACACAAGAAAGAGCCTAGTTTGACCGAGGGGCGAAAACACATGGCCTGGCAGGATATGGATTGGGAGAATGCTTCCTGGGCCGGTGCGAGTTCTCCGTTACCCTGCGTTTTCCGCACGTCGCATGAATCAAGACCAAATAATCGGTCTTATTATTCCATGGAGTAAAACAGGTTTATTATTGGCCCTTTGAGTTGGTTTTGCTGTGCTTTTCTGATTATTGTTCACTGTTGGGTCATTGGTCATTGGTCGTTGGTCGTTGCTTTTAGAGGGTGTTAATCAACATATGACGTCACAGGGACGTGCCGGGCAACCTTACGCGGGCCGTTTTCCGAGCGGCACCCGCCATATTGGCGGCCGCCCAATTTGCTTACAGGGTCTTTTTCAGGGTCCCCCGAATACGAAGCCAATCGTACGCGCCGCAGTTGTTGACTGTCTTTGTTTGATTCGAATCAACGTTCTCGGATTTTGTGGTCTTCGTTCCAGCAAGTTTCTCGTCTCTTTGTCGTATCCCATTTCAAATGGACTATTTACTTCTCCTTTTATGTCCGATTTTGTAGTCGGGGTGGAAAGTAGAACTTTGGAGTTTTTTGAATCCGTTTCATAGTCTTAAAACGTAATGGGCCATCTCAGGTCTCGCCATGTTTGAATCATTCAACCTCAACTTTCGTATTTGCCGACGTCATTTTCTCATTTCCCATTTTCTTGTTTTCTTGTTTTCTTGTTTTTGTACCATTCCCACCTTCAGGCGTATCTCTCCGCCATCGGAGAAAGACCAAGTCACCTGCCAGTGGACCACATTCGCCACAGTCGATTTCATGGTCACACTCAACCCCGTGGGGGCATGTCGTTGTCTTGATTTCAGGGCGCGGATAAAGGACGTTACCTATTTTCCTTGATTCGATTATTGATTCTGCCTCTTATCTCACTGGATGTATCCAACGTTATCCTTTGTCATTTTTGGGAAAATATTTGATCCCATCACATTAATTCGTGTCTTTGTGTGCTTTCCTACCTATGCGCTCGCAGCACAGCGGAGCGGGTTCGTCCTGTATCTTACTCTAGGTTTCTGCCTGGCTTTTCAGATGTAAAAGAGGCGACCCTTCTTCGTTCTGACAAGTTTATACCGCGTGTAAGATTCTTGTCTAGGTTGCCGTCGTTGCATCATTCAATGTGCTCCATCCTCCTACTCCTCCTCGTGAGACACATAACCCAGCAGCTTCGTACTTGTAAAGCGTCCGCCAAAGACGGGCTGCAGGTGATCAAACAGTGCCAATATGTCTTCCTCGCGCACACCGGTGATGGTGTCGGGATCATAGGGCAGCATGCGGGACAGCACATCTTTGGCTTCAAAGGCCAGCTTCCGAGCCGCGTTCCGAAGCTTGTCTGTCTGTTCGTTCTCGCCATCGGCTTGGATGCGCTCGGTCATGATCAGCGACAGATGGTACTTGGTGCGCGCCACGGCGGCGTCGGGCCAAAAGTTCTTGCCACCACGGCTGGCCGCCTTGCTCAGTGCTGACTGCATCAGAATCTCGGCATCCTCGAGGCGGCCGAGGTAGTGGCACAGGGCGGCGACCGCGTATTGACTTTGGAGCGTAAAGTAGCTGGCGCGACCCTGGAAGCCGAGACGCGCCTTGAGAATGTCCTGGTGCATGTCGAGCGCCTGCTGCAGATTACCTGACTGCAGCATGATGCATGCGAGATCGAAACGGTACCGCAGCGCCATGGCCATGTCGCTGACACTCTCGATAATGCGCACAGCTTTATTACTCAGCGCCAGCGCCTCGTCAAACTGCCGCCGATACATCTTGCAATAGGCCAGGTGGTGGTGCAGCTTGGCAATGGCAAAGGCGGTCCCGCCGTCTTCGGCCTTGCCAATTTCTGTGTAGATGGCCAAGCACTCTTCGTAGATGGGCTCGGCCTTCCGGAAGTCGTTGAACTGAAGCAACGTGTTGGCATAATCGGCTCGCGCGTTGTTCAGCACGAGCTTGTCCTCATTGGTGACGCTCTCCGGCGGCCGTTGTGTTAGCATACTCTGACGGTATTCGAGAATTTTGGCGGACCGTTCCTTGATCTCTTTCCGGTGGCTGATGCCAAAGTACTGGAGGAGCAGGTTGATGGTGATGTTAATCTCGGAGCGAAGGTTTTCGTTGCTTTGTGGAAGCTGGTCCAAGACTCGCTCGGCCGAGCGAAGCAGTCTCAGTGCGTCCCCATGGATGTACCGCTGCCATAGCAGGACACCGCCATCTTTGAACAGCTCTGCCAGTCCTAGGAACGGCTTCACATTGACAATTGACAGCGGATCGGCATAGGCCCTCTGCAAACTAAGCACATGCGGAAGGTACTCCTTGAACGCGTTCCATTTGGCCTGCTCCGGCGTGTCAAGCGACGGCCGAGGAAGACGGTTCCGGATCAGCTCGTAGGCAATGCCGAAGATAATGTCTCGCTCGTCTCGATTTGCATTCATGTCCTGCAACAGCTTCGACTGTAGCAGACGGTGAACGGTGTAGATCTCGCGGCCGCCCTGTTCTCTCTCGGAAACAATGCTCTGACTTTTAAGCTTGCTGATGATAACACGAAGACTGTGGAATAAGGTTGTTAGAGACGGCTTTTTTGCACGATATATGGGAGGCCAAGTCATGTACGTACCGGCTCTTTTTGAGGTAGGTCGGTCCCGGCTGGTCTGGGTTGTTCCACTCTAATACTTCGCGCTGGATGCCGTTGCTGTCAAGGAAGGCCATAATCTTGAGCAGTTTCATCTCGTCAGAACTCAGATCCCGGAGCGCAACATAGAGTACACTTTCTCGGCCAGCGGTGCTAGGCTCCTGGCGTTCTCCTTGAGTGGTGTTGGCGCTCATCCACGCGTTTGGCCGCCACTCGTTCCAATACTCCCAAAACTCCGAGAGTGTACACCCAGACTTCTTGATGTACCCTGAGACGTAGACAATCAGAAGCGGCAGCCCAATTAACCCTGCAATCTCGCCCGCCACTTTATATTCAGGATCGCGCAGCGACATTTCTTCGGGGCGCAACTCTTCTGGGAGCCCAAAGATGAGAAGTTTCCGGCCTTCCTCGACGTTCAGCTCCTCAAGCATGACGCGGTAGTAGTTAACAGGCCGCGATGGTGCCGTTAGGCTCTCGTGCCGTGTCGTGATTAGGATGGACCCTTGGGTGGCTGATGTCTTGTTGGGCATGTATGCGTCAATGTCTTCCCAGCGGTCCACGTTGTCGAGAACCATGAGCCACCGCCTGTCCTTGATCTGCTCGATAAACTCGCGGCCAAGCCGGACCAGCGTATCTTGATCGGTGCCGTCTGGGGCCAGCTGCAGTTGCTGGGCGATTTGCGAGAAGGTGTCGCTTGACCCGACGGGTGTCTCCGCCTGCACCCAAAAGATGTAGTGATAGCTCTGCTCAAAGCGCCAGCTGTACTCGACGGCGAGAGCTGTCTTTCCCATGCCGCCTTCGCCGCTCACGACACATACTCTGCCAGGCTCGGACAATATCTTGTACAAATTGGCCAGCTCCTTATCACGGCCCATGAAATCCGAATTGCGCGGCGACGAGAAGGTGCGCAGCAAAGGCATCTTTTCTGTGGACGATGCCAAAGACGGTGGCTTCGCAGCTAACTGCAAGGCCTGTCGTGTCTTTTGACTTGTGGTCGTCGATGTCGTCATCCGCCTCGCTGGGGTGTCGCGCTCAAAGGTTTCACCGGTGCGGCCGACCGAAGTCTGTTGCGCTGCTCCAGAGGTGTTTCCCGTCTGGAACATGCGATCGATAAGCATCTGCCGTGTCTCTCCATGACCACCACCGAAGCGCGAGTCTGAGTCTTTGGAGCCGTCGTAGTCCGACATGTCGTCCAACAGGTCCAGCCGGCTGCTACTATCCATGAACAGATCAGGCGGCTGTTTACCTCGCTCCAGATTCAGCTTGAACTGCTCGGTGACAAAGGTGTTGAGAACAAACTCCTTTCGGCCGCGTTCAGACATGGCATCGTCGCTTTGCGAAAAGATGTCGTCAGAATCGTCCTCCTCCGAAACGTCCTCGTTGGCAACGGCAAGGAGCGCAAAGTACTCGAGGTGCCGTCCGATGTGGTCCTTGCAGGCAGAAGCCTCTACTTTGTCGCCGCACAGAGGACATATCTGCGTGCCCACATGTTGACCTGAGAGCGTCTGTCGCAGCATGGCCTTCATCATGGCCACCTCTTTGTCGTCTTTGAGCTCCCCGCAGTGTGTCTGCACAAGATGTTCGGACGCCTCGCTCTTGGTGTCAAACTCTTTCATACAAGCAGGGCACGGCCACGTCTTTTTGATGCGGTGCGATTCCAGCTCGTGGCGGTACCACTCGTCACGCTGTGCGTAGGTCTCTTGGGCACTAAAGCACTTGTCGAAAGTGCATAAATATGGTTCCAGATCTTCGAGGAGGTGCTCGTTCCAGTCTTCCTCGGTCTTGATCTTGCCACCGGCTTCCAGATCGTAGCCGCAAAAGTTGCAGGTGAACATTTGCGTCTTTCCTTTGGGTAACTCGGTAAGCTGCAATGGCGGTCTCGGAAACAGTGCTGCTTTCGTAGGTGGTTGCCCCAACATGCCGCTGCCCGACATCTGGAGTTTTTTGGAGTTGAAAGTCGCCATGGTCGCCATGGTCGTCGCAGATTCGGCTCGAGTCAGCTTTGGTGCCACGGTGTGGTCCACATCGAATATGGATGCCGTTTCAGAGGGTGCCGCACTGCTCGCGGCAATCGACATGAGAGGTAAGAACATGGGCACTTTTGGTACTGTCTGTCGTCTCCCCGGCTTCAACGTCGGCTTCTGGAAGTTGAAAGCATCCTGTGCTACATCGTGATGGTGGGGCTTTTTGCTTCCCTTTTTGGTGATGTGGACCTTGCCATCTTGTTGGATCTGTTCCTGAACAACCGCCTGAGAGACCCGCCGCTTCCAGTTGGCACGGCCAAGGCGAGTTTTGAGAATATTTGATGCCGTGGGAAACTCAAGCTTTGCGCGCTCAATGTCGAGTTGGTCGCTCACGTCGCTAGTGTTGCTGATGCTTGATGAGTATGTGTCGATGTCCTGCGGGTACGGGCGGTCGAGGCTAGGACCGAGCATGATCAAATTCTCTACACGCTCGCCAATGAAGTCGAAAACATCAGAGAGCGCCTCGAGTAGATCAGCGGTCTGCGCGTCGTCCAGCGATGCACCGTCGACTGTGCCCGGAATCAGCTCATCTCGGCTGGCAGTTCCATCTTCATTGTCTGGAATAACTGTGACGGGTGGTAGAGAGCGGTCAGCTTGGTCATCCGTGGCACGACTGGACCATTGTTGAAGTTTCTCATCTTCGAGCAGTTGCAGAGCTGTGCCGTAGTCAGTCGCTGGTAGTTGACTAATAGAGTAGTAGTTGTCAAGGGTACAGGCATACCTTCATCGAGCGATACCTGCAGCTCTTGGAGCGCCTCGACCACCGTGTCGTGGAGATCTTTTGACTTCCGCAGCTTGTAATCCAGAGTGTGGTCCTCGGCCCCTGTCTCGTGGCCCCAGATTGTGAGGCGTGCAAATGCATCATCGAGAGCCTGATGCTGTGTTTCTGTTTGGGGAAGAAGTTGTGCAAAGGGAATGAAATTTGAGCACAGCTTGTTGAATGTTTGCGAAGCGTTCTCGTAGCGAGCAGCAACGACTGCCTTCATGACACCCGGCTTCCTCTTGCCGAGCACATCGTACATGTGTGTTTGCTTATCCATGGCACGTTGGTTTAAGAAGAGAAAGAAAAACTTCAATGACGCAAATGCGCTTTCGTAAGAATGGCCTATGTTGTGACGTCCTCTGTGGCTATCGATGAACCGGGCGATGACATGCAAGTCAGAGTTACTGTTTAACCTCGGGACCCACGATGTTGATATGATACGCGAGAGGCAGGGTAGATGAAGGTAGATCCTGCCTTGAATGTTAGATTTGTTGTATGCACCACGCTAGCCGTGGCGCATCAACAGCTTTTGCTACTTTCGAATCAGTCGAGAAATGCTTCGCCGTTTTGATTTCAAATGGCAGTGCGTACTTCAATCAGCAGTCCCCTTATCTTTACCCTCACGCGACGTTGCCCGAAGACAACCGTCATGTTCTGTGATCGACTTCGCAGTGCGGCTCTGCGTTGGCTCTCGGATGAGCTGATAGTGGCAGAGTCGGGGTAATAATCGCTGCTCGGGTCGAAACAAGCGGGCACACAATTTGGCAATGAGGATGTGTTGGTATGCCTTGGACGAAAGGAGGACTTAGGGAGACCTATTGCGAATTCAGCCTCATCGCATGCCGGCGTGACCACCTGTAGCTTGGCGTGGGGATGCAATCAGGCCACGGCGGACCAGCCAACCGATTCGCTTCTTTGTTCGGGCGGTGGTGGGAGCGGGCGCTGTTCCGATCTGTAAGTGTTGCTAGCTGCATGTTAGTGGAAGCGAATGCACCACAACTAGACGGCCATTTGCGGTCTAAGTTTTGCACTGCCCTCTTTGCTGGCCATACGAGCGGGGCATGCATATTGTCCGAAGTTGTCGTCATATGGATTTCTCTCCAGAAAACAGCAATGCGTCCTCCATACTTCGGTCAGGACGGACAAAGAACACGGTGTGTCCTATATCGGCGTGCTCGCACGGAAGCTTGAAGTCCCAAAAGACTGTAGTTGACAAGGAGCTATGATCTGACGTGTTGTCAAACACTCGGTCCAGATAAGGTCATGGGTTAGGATTGCCCAAGTGGCTTTGCTGCCTGCCACTAGGACCCTCGGTCAAGGTTCCCGATGTCGTTCCCAGTTTCTCTCCAAGAGGGTGGATGGGGCGGGGAATGAAACACCTTCTCTTCCAACCTTCGGTGCCTTCTAGCGTGCTCGTTCTGACATGGCGCCCGGACGGCACAGCAGATCGCTCTTCACTTGGTCGCGGTTTGGTTGCTCCTCGTTGGTCAGCCTGGCCTGGCGATTTGATGTGTCGTTTTGTTTTCACAATGTTTGGTGTCATATTGGGCTGTAATTATAAGCATTCGGTTGGTGTGAAAGAAAGTAAGGCTTAGCCAAAACCCAGGTGCGGCCACCACACCAACTTTCAGATGCCAACCAAACAGCGTCCCAGCGTCCATAACCTCCCCCCTTTCATGGTTTGGCTTGGAAACGGTTCATAACGTTGATCTCACGTTTGCATCTTTTGTCTCGGCTTCCTCTAGAAACATTCAAACTCCGTGAGCCTCATGTTTGCCGATTCATTCTCATTTTCATACTTTGGACTGCCGTTGCCAAAGTCAAACGAGATTCAACACAACATACCCCGACTTCGGTGAACACCAAAGCACACTGCCCCTGATGTCGGGCATGGAAGTGATCGGCCTAGCTCTCGCCCTATGGCCCGTGGTCGGGTTGCTCAACGAGCTTTACTCGTCGGTCAAAGATGGGTCTGCCAGCCGGTGGGCCATGACCATCAAAGTTCAGGAGCGCATCTTTAAGGAGTGTGTGCTCAAACTGTTGCAGGGCGACGAGGACCTGTCAGAAAAGGACCGCATTGGCCTGATCACCGGCGACAAGAGCTTTACGAGCCTGTGGCAGGACGCCGAGTTCAGTGCGCGACTTGAAAGCCGTCTGGACAAGGAGCTGTGCATGCTCATCAAGCACGAGGTCTTGGAAATCTCCAAGCTGGTCTCGAATTTGCAGCGGTACCTTGGCGAGATCAAGACGGAGCCAGCGGCCAAGCGGGTACTGCCGTCGTTCCGGGACGTGAAGAGGGTCCTGCGCAAGGACGAGATCAAGAAGAATTTGGACTACCTGGCGTTCCACAACTCGGCGCTGCGCAAGCTGCTCAAGACCTGCTCGAGCACGGCGTACGCGGATGCCAAACCGGCGGCGAACACGGTGCAGCGGCAGAGCACATTGCAGGAAGAGCGGCAAAAACGGATCGACGCACAGTTCTTCAACGGCTTCCACGAAGTGCTCGGCAAGAGCTTCCGGTGCAACTGTCCAGCGGGCCACGAGGCGAACCTGTCGGTGACGGACACGATGGTCATGTTCCAGTCGTCCGACCTGTCGCGTGTCATGTCGAATCTGCGCCTTCGCGGGCGATCGGCCACAATGGAGAGCGATATGACAGCCTATGAGGACGCAGATGACGGCGAAGACATGATGAGGTGAGTGTCGCTGACATGCCCTGTTTTGTGACCGATTGTTGTTTTTGTCCATCACTAACAAACAGTGAATGGATCCGGTCGACGTGGTCCCGCGCGCGGCAGGGAAGCCTGTCGATGCGGCCAGGCGACAACCCGGCACTGCTCGTCAAGTACAGCGAGAGCCGCGGGGTGCAAAACTTTACGCCCATCCCGGACCTCTGTCAGTGGATCCACACGGTGCGCATGTCGCCGCCCAACTCGCCCAAGATGAGGACGGAAGAGTTGCAGGGCGTGCTCGGTGCCCATGATGGTAAACGGTACACAGTGCGTGCACCGCGGCAGCACACGGCGCTCACCATTGTGTCGATGGAGGAGTGGCTCGCGACGTGCGGCACGGCGAGCAAGCGGCGGCGCGTGCGGGCAGAGCTGGCGATGAACCTGGCGGCCACGATCCTGCAGTTCTACCCGACGGCGTGGATCGAGAAGACGTGGACGTGGCAAAACTTTTCGGTGGCGCGGCATGAGTTGTCCCACGACCTGATGATCACGCAGCGGTTCTGGTCGCTGGACATGCCGCGGCGGCAGAGCCTCAAAAAGACGCCAGCCGCGGCGCCGTCCAAGTTCTGGAGCACCTTCCAAGACCTGGACCCGATGCTCGTGCGGCTGGGGTTTGGGCTGATCGAGCTGGCGCTGGGCAAGCGGCTGGCAGACATCCGAATGGACAAGGACACGTTGGCTGACGGTGGTGGAAGCGGTGGAGACAGCGGTAGCAGCGACGCAGATCTGGCCGACTACTACACGGCGGTGGATGTTCTCAACAGCAACGAGATCGAGGACGAGATCGGCGTGACGTACCAGCGCGTGGTCGAGGCGTGCCTGCGATGCCGCGTGATCAGCGACGTGGGCATCAAGCTGCTCAAGTCGAATTCGAGCAAATTCGAATCGGACTTGGAGCGGTTTGTGGTCGAGCCACTGCGACGGCACCACTCGTCGATCTGGGGCACAGCACAGGTGACGACGTATTAGTGGCAGTAGTGGCTGACGGCACCAGGATGGGACTCACGATGTATGATGGCGTTATTGGGTTGTGCCTGTAAGGCGTTTCACATTTGTGTACATCTGGGCAAGCGATGTTTTTTGTTTTGCTCTTTTGAGGCTCCGTCCATTTGGTCACGAGATTATGATTTTCCTTCCAGATTAGGCAATGACAATGTAGAATATCTTTAACTTGGAAGGAGCGTGGTGGGAAGGACGTGGCGTGTCTTTTTGGGAAAGAGCATCTGGCGATGTCTGCGTAAGGTAGTTTCTTTCTTGCGTTTATTTTCGAAGTTCTATAATAC